CGGAGAGTGAAGATGTGGTCGATACAACTTCCACCGAGTTTAAAACCAGCATGGTTCTCACTCATGCACCGTTCATGTGCGGGAGACAATCGACGGAGTTTTTGAAAAAACGTGAAGTACAGTGAATCTTGTGAACCTTCCAACTGGGTATCTTATCTATCCAATGGTGTTGACAGTTTCCGTCGATTTCAAGATTGCTTTATTCAAAGTTTTATTCTGTCTGTTCCCATCTCTGCTGTTTAATCTGGATGAACGCATTTATTTTCCTATTAGTCCTATCAGAGAACCCCATTATCAGACTTGTTTCAGTAGTCTACGAGAACTTGATGTTTATAACAGTATCATTTCCGAGGCTGACTCTGTAAAATAACACGGAGTCACCTTGTCACATAACCTTCTCTAGTCCAAATATCTTTGTATTATGGTATGCCTTCAGACTTGTAGAGTTGACCATTCCCTTTACATCTAATTTTTAAATTTATGACTTATAATGCTTCAAATTAGCTGTACTGTTCCCAAATATTTCCTCAAATAAAAAAGAGCAAAATCTTTCCCTCATTTTTTCGTTGCAGCGCATGTTTTTATGAGCAAGCATTTTGATGCACGAGATCGATCCACCAGCCGTATACTGCCTAATGAAGACCGCCTATATACACGCTCAGTCATAGACTTGCTCTGAAGATAGGCTTCTCCCTGCATGCACTAACACTTATACTTAGCACCATCTTTCTTCTTACTCGTAGGTTGGTAAATCAGGACATGCATCAATACAGAATTTACAAATCACTGATTGCAACAGTGTTGTTTTCATTTCATTTTATTTTATTGTATTATCACCCCTCACTCGTTTCGCGTACCGTTCTCTACCGTGTCTCGCCTAAAATGATGAAAAATACCCTCGTAGGTACACAAAGCCTATTACGACAACCATCAATGGCTTGATGCTCGACAAAATAAGCGCAAGGATAACCATCTAAACGCTTGACACTTTTGAAATGATTACGGCGCTGACTTACCCGTACTACTTGTGCGTTTATATGATCTGCCCAGCCGACATGTTGCCTGGCTCGGCGCGAACGTCTGAATGAACTTCTCCAGGAGTTGTGCACATCATCCGGGTTACCAACCGGAGCGGAACTGGTGGTGCTTGGCGCGGATGAAACGCTGCCCGTGTTTGACAAACTATCAGCTGTGTCAGATGCGTCATGAACCAGGGTTCCCGGAGGAATGAGAATGGGTAACCCATCGTCGGTAGAGCCGGGTGAGTAACACCCTAGGGTACATTCGTCTTCAGTGAAAATGTGATTACGTTCATCGTCATCGCCGTAATCAAGTTCTGGTTCATAGTCAGACTCCGCACGTTTCTGAAAGGGGCTGTGAACAGCAGTGCGCCGCTTGAACCGAAGTCGACTCTTGCTGACCATCTTTTGTAACCGACTGGGTTGTTTAATGAGTGTTTCTGTTCGCGGCAGCTTGTCATCAATATCCGAGGCACTATGAAACAAAGGAAAACATCAGTTCCAGGGAAAGGAATTTAGAAATACATTCAAATGCAAATATATGTGCAATAGGAATGGTGCGGTTCGCATTGAAACTCCACGAATACTATTTTTTCAAACATCAATCCCGATAAAAAAGCGGAACGCTGAAGGGAACAATAGTAGTGGATCTGATTTTTAGGGTTAAAGTAATGACCTAAACATATAAACCCAATTGTTGTGCTAACAGGAACAAAGTATCAATGCCACGTTTTCATAATCAGTGGATGATGGATAAAGCTGCTCACGTACATTTCGTTCTTTGCCCCACGACGACGACTGAAGAAGGCAGAAGCAGCTGCAATTAGTGGTCCGCCACTGGTGTGTCCCGATTCAGAATCTTGGGAGCCAGATTTATGGTTCCGATAGGTGCTGGTTTTCAGTCCACCATGACCGGTGACTTTTACACTGGAGCGCTTTGGATCGAGAAAGCTGCGCCTGGGTACGGAGTCGAGTCGCACTTCACCCATGGCAACGGACAGCTGACGATGTTCTGGAGGTAGCAGACCGCACATGTGGTTGATCAGTTTTCCTTGTTGAGTGGTGATTGTGGTAAGTTTATATATTTCGCTTTGAGCAGCCTGTTGAGCCACATCGTTTGATTCTTTTTCACGCGATAAATCAGCCTGAAGTTGACGTACCTCTTGGCGAGAGGTGTCACGTTGGCTAGCCAGTTGAGTATTGTTCATCCGTAGGCGTTCCAATTGCATCTCCAAACTTTCAACCTGTATGTGGATAGTGAGGTGAACTTTACAGAACAAGTGGTCGAAAAAATTTTCAAGCGGTACCAGATTGAATGACTTGTGAATGATCAGTGACTCAGGTTGATCATAAACCTTGCACAAATCGCAGGCTTTCATCAGTTCCTGTTTTATACTGAGCGCGTTTAACGTTTTCGTGAGGTTATTTATACATGCAAATACTGAAGAAAACCCTACTTCAAAACCAATAAACACTCGTGTGATTAACCAAACTCTCGAAGAGTTAAATTAATTTTACGCCAAAAAGCTCACCTGGTCCGCCAATTTGCGTTTTTCCTGAGCGAACGTAGTCAACTGTTGCTGCAACGCTGTTAACTCGGAGTTCTCTGTATTGGGTGAGTAGTTCATCAACTGGAAGGAAATGAGGCGTGTAGCACGGTGAGCGAGGAAGGATATTTGAGCAATAACATAAGATGAAGCATCAATATAAATGATAACTTGAAAAACAAAATTGATTGAGATTGTCTGCGGTTTGAGTGTCTTGGTCACCCCTCATTTCGGCAGAAATGAAGAGAGTATGGCTTTTATCAACCCAGATGTGATCATGCCCGGAAGGTGGAAGATT